CGTGCCTGCCTCTCCCACCACCTACCGACTGACCTACCACCCCACCCCACCCCACCCCACCCCACCCCACCCCACCCCACCCCACCCCACCCCACCCCACCCCACCCCACCCCACCCCACCCCACCCACCCATCCACCCGCATACTGCCACCAGCACTAGCACCCGTACCGCCGACAGCAGCAGCAGCAGTAGCAGCAGCAGCAGCACCCGCGCCCAGCACCAGCACTGCCGCTAACACAACTGCGAGTACTGCGACTTCAATTTCGTGGGAGTGGACTAAGACGGTGACGGCGATGATCACTGCTGCAATCAAAGTGTCGTTTGGCTCTTTGGATCCTGAGCCTGTCAGGTGGTCCTCCTCAACTGTGCCTGTCCTCGCCCGCAGCCTCTCCCACCGCCAGTCCTTTGGTCGGGGGTCCCAGAACATTGAGCTGTTGCACGTGTGATACCCTAGTGCAGTAGTGCATTGCTTGCGGATCTTTGGGGCTGGTCCTTACGCGTCCACGAGAGGGGCAGACACACGTGTGATGGTTTGTCCTGACGCCAAAGGATGTTTCCGACAGTTTTTATGGGTTGTTGACGGCTGTAGATCATTGATTCATCAACCGCAGGCAGGAAGCCCACAATCGTCCACATCTGCTGCTGGGGACTTAGCACCAGATTCTCCTTAGCGCCTTCGAACTTTGTGGGATGGGCAATTTCAATGCACAGACATGCACAGACACTGCATCCTGGCCACAGCAAGGCCACTCCACAGGTGATGTCTTTAGCGCAGGCACTGCGCATGCCCCTTAAGGGCCAGAGCGAGACGGTGCGGTTCCCAGATCCTGTGCTGATTTGGGAGTGCGGGTGAGGACGGTGAGGCATGGTGAGGCATGGTGAGACCGTGAGAGCGTCGAAGCTTCCGAGGCTGGGCCACAAGCCCAGGAGCGGCCGGTGGTCGGGCTGGCATGTTTCTGGTCGCGCACAGATACCCTCACACCCGCACCGCCCCTAAGTGTACTAAGGCCTCGCCGCAGCACCGCAACCGAACGGTGCGCAACCTCGGCCTGCCCTCGAAGTCGCTGGAGCCGCAGAAGGCTGGAGCAATGTTGAGCAATGTAAGGCATGCAGATGCGGAACAGGCTAACGAAGACGGTGACGGGTGCACTGAAGCCCACCTCGCCACGGTCCGGAGGTGATGCTTCCTGGTGCGGTGGGCAGCCCACCAGGACTTGGCGCCACAGCTGCAGCCGCGTTGGCCGCCATGCGTGCAGCCAAGCGACGAGTCAGAGACCACACGGGCAGCTTCACCGAGATCGCCCTGTGAGATCTGTTTTTCGGTCCGCCGAGGCGTGCCCAACTGGGGTCCCCCCCGGGCCTGGAGGTCGAGGCCGCGGAGGGCGAAGAGGCCGATGACCTCGAAGAGGAGGAAGAGCCCAGGCACCCAGGCAGAGCACGCAGAGACACAGCACAACACGGCACAGCTCCTCCAGCTCAGGTCTGCAGGAATGGACGCCACGCCCGTGATCAACGCAGATGCATCCCCTGAGCCTGGGCCGTGGAGAAAGCCTAGAAGCCTTGTGGGACGAGCAGATTTGCCTGTGCAGGAGCCGCCTTGCACTGTCTCCCACGGTCGCTGGCTGTGAGTCGGATGCGGAGGCATCCCGAACATCCCGAACCAGCCGGACAGAATGGACAGCACCTGGTCCAAGTGATGCGATGACGAGTGTGGTCACAACAACGATGTTATCCAACGATCGTACAAGCTCCGCCTCATCTCTTGCCACCACGCTTGCTCCAGCTGCAAATCACCCTTTTGAGGCATTAGCATCCGCAGTCACATGCGCACTGTGCAGGGCGACTCCCAAAAGCTGGGCGAACGGTCGGGCCTCAGATCTTCAGAGCTTTTTGACGTCTCATCTTAGGTGGAGTTGTCAGGGCACTTGGTCCGGAAGCCATGAACTATACGAAGCACTTTAGAGCACAGGCCCGGTCCGCATTCTGTGGCCAGGAACACCGTCGACTTCTCCAACAGCTTCGAGTTGCACAGGACTGCTGCGTGTCTGTAGTGACACTGCTGCGAAGCTGAGCTGGGTGTTTTTAGCCCCGCGTCGCCTTTCAGGAGCTTGGAGCAGCTGATCCGCTTGCGAGCCGAGGGCGTCCGGGGCTTCAAAGCGATTCAAGTCGACTCCGCTGCCTTGTGCTTTTGGCTTCTCCGGGCCGAAGCCGCAGAGGCCGAGACCTCAAGCCGCTAATTCAGGAGGAGACGACGTGATGCCCTCGGATCTTCGGGCCAGTTCCGGCTCTAAGGCCCTAAGCGTCCGCTGCCCAGGGCTCCTGCTTCCCGTAGATCGAGCAGGGGTCGAGCTGCGGCTTCCACCGCGCAGGCGCCCTGGGCATTTTACACTCAACAGAACATGCGATTGAAACCGTGAATGTGGCAGGCTCAAAGAATTGGACATGGCTGTCCCTTACCTTGCCTACTGCATGGGTCAGCCGAGAACCGTAGCAGAAAGGGCTTCACTTTTGTTGTAGTCCTTGCCTTGCCTGGCCAAAACAAGTCTACGGAACCCAACAGATTCGCGCGAGATGCGTGTTTTGGCCAGCGCACGTTGATGCTGACACCTCTGGGTGGGCACTTAATTAGCGCTAGCTTTGAGAGCAAGCATTGCATATCGCTGGGAAATGCCGAGATGGCCCGGACTCCGCGAAACACAGTCTCAAGACTTGCGACCGTGATGTTCTTTACTGATAAATTTCCGAGCTGCAGTTTGAGGCTTGCTTTCGGTGCAAGTCTCTCAAAACTGCGGCGTGATGCCTTCGACTGATATCATGCGAGGATCGAATGCAGACTAGTTGGCTGAACTTGTTGTACGTGAATCCGCTTACACTGTTGTTTCGGTACGAGGCCAAAATCGCTAGGGCAGGGAGGTGCCACTCAATCATGTGTTCAGCAGGCCAGCGTCCGTAACATGCCGTTCTTGTTGCACCAGAACAGTGGCATAGTGCATCATAGTACCAGTGGGAAAGATGGCATCTTCTTAGCGCTGAGAGCGCGAAGAAGCACCTTCGCATTCGTGCAGCGCCGCCAAACGGCTTCTGCACAGTAGTTTGCGGATGTAGGTTTTCTGCATCACTAGCTGGAGCAATTGGACGTTCAGGCACCGGCCTGACAAGACAATTTGCTCCTGTAGGCGTGTTAATTGGTCAGCGACGGCAGATGAAGCAAGAACAGCTGGTCAGACACAGTCAGACTAGGAAGACCTAGATTTCAGCTTTGAAGCAGCACACAAACCCAGAAGTGTAGTTACAGAGACGCTTGGCATTTGGGCGTTCCATTCCTGCCATCTGCCCATCGCTACTGGCATGCAGCTGGGCCCTATGAGCGGGGGTCAGCCAACTTCAGCCACCTATAGCTCTGCCCTTTGGTGCCGAGTGCGGGCCGACGTTGGCCCAATGTTTCACTGTTGCCTCAGACAGCGCGTGGCTTCCGAAGCGCAGCGAAGCGTAGGTGCCGTAATGGCCAACTCTACCGCTGAGATCGGCAAGTTGCGGAGCCACAGATTGTCTGTGAGCTGCTCAAGGCAGTACTGCAGTAGGCCGGGTGATGCAAGACACTCTCAGGAGTGGTGCCTGGCTGTTGTGGCGCGAGGTCTGAGCCAGAGTTGATGCTAAGCGGACCAGGGACTTGCAGTTCGTTGAAGTCATGGTACCTCTCAGAGCTCACGCCACTCCTGTCAGCACTGCCCTCGTTACGTCTTGTTGCACCTTGGTGTCCTTTTTTTGGTCATTATGTTTGCTACGCTTGCGCCGATCATGGTCCGGACCTCAGTCGGAGAGGCTACGGAGGTTTGTAGTAGATGTCGCACTGGTAGCACCTTGGATGTTTTTACAAGCCTGCCGAAGTAGAGAGCCTGCCGAAGTAGAGAGTGACGCTCTGGAGAGTTGGCTTCGGGGTTTGACGGTCAGAAAGTCGTGCGTGGCAGTGCAACCTTTGGCGTACACCTTCAATTGTCGCTGGCCCAGGAAGTGACGTCGCGCGAGTTGATTAGGGCGAGAGGTTCGACTCAAATCTGGAAAAGATCCATGTTTCGTCAGCAGGAATGTGAGTCTGATGTGCAAGTGCTGCAGCGAGCTTCATTTGAGGTTGACAATTCAGGACGGCAGTGTCATGTGCGATTATCTGAAGATTGAAGCGCACGGCATGACGTCCACTTGAAGGGCATGGCATGACATTGCCCGCAAGCTTCAGTCTCTTAGAAGCGAATGCCGGGTGCCAGTCTGCAGACTTACACTGTAGGACTTGGGTTCTCTGCCCTAGAGAGCTTAAAGCCCAGATGCCTTGACTCCCCAATCTTTATCTCCTGGCCAAAGTGCCATGCCGCGGAAAAGCGCCGCCAGGGGCCAAGCCGTGCAACAGAGACGTGAGTCAGGGCTCTGAAGCAGGACTCTCCCTGTGACCACAAAACTTCTACTCTCGTCATGGAGAGTTTGCTTTTCTTTTAGATGGGCATGAAGCAGAAGTGTCATTGAGCCCAGCTTGCATCAACCCTGCAGGCCTCTGCCCCGCTTGGCTCACAGACGCGCGTGTAGGGTCCGTGGTTGTGTGCAGCCTTTGATCTATCTCACAGATCTTTCTCCGAGATGCCTGTCGGTGAGCGGCCCAGTCCGTGGTATTTGCCATCGCTTGTCGCAGAGAGGAAGAGCGATTTCTCGGAGGTCTTGGAATCAATGGCTTTGGCCGCATTGGTCGCTTGGTCTTCCGCGCTGCCATGGCCAACCCGGATGTGGAGCTCAAGGCCGATGGGGGAGGGCTTTTAGGAGCCCAGCAGTATCCAGCGGCCCAGCCCGCCAGTCCCTGAGGCTATCAACGATCCCTTCATGGACCTGAAGTACATGGCCACTCCGACTTGAAGAGGAGCCCTTGCCTTCCGATTGAAGACCGGGGCCGAGGTCTATCAGCTGAAGTACGACAGTGTCCACAAGATGTTTAACGGAACAGCAGCCTGGCGACATTCCAGAATCACCAAAATCATCCGCTTCATCCTGCGCTTAAGTCATCCTGCCCTTAAGCCATCCCTGCTGCTTGTCGTGGGATAGCAGCGCAGGTGGCCTGTAAGGAGGACGGCGGAAAGGAGTACTTGGAACCTCGGCAATTATGCAGGCTTCTGTATGCAAGGCTGACTCGAATAGGCATATTGAGTCACGAGTGGCTTGTTGTGGGTGGACCGGGATGGGTGGCTCCGTAACTAGGCCAACCCTCGCTCTGCATGCTCATTGTAGCATGTCAGCTTGTGAAGACCTAGTCATCTGATCGTGCGATCTCGTCCGCGTATATCGCAGCAAAACAGACTTGAAACGTGCCGCCGCGACCTCTGCCATTGAAGTTCCAGATAAGACTCGAGGTCCACTCGTAAACTGACTACAATCTCCTCGAACCATGGATGTCGGTAGTTTATTTAACATCGAGGCTCTTCAGTTTTCAGCACTCAGAAGCGAAAAGACCAGCAAAAGCAGTGTTTTGGTGTCAGAAATGTGTAAGGTCGTGAACGGGAAGGACATCCAGGTCTTCCACGAGAAGGAGATTTTGCGGAATTTGCATACACGCTTCCGGTATGTTTCTGCACAGGTGTTGTGTGCGTATACGATCAGGAAAACTGCTCCTCGATTTTCCAAACATCAATGGACCTGCGCCACTAGTCACTAGCCTTGCTTGCTCAAGTCCCCACTGCTTGAGCAAACGCCGATGAAAGTGCGTACGCTAGCAGAGTATCTATTTGTAGTGGGAGTGTATTCGTGGTGAGTCTACCGGTGTGTGGGCAAATTCCAACTTGTCTGGACTGGGAGACGGAACCGATTCGGTGGGGCAAATGAAACAAGTGGCCGAATTCGCACGAAACCATATCCAGAAGAAAGAATGTTGATCCATGCTCATTTACATGATCACGGCATATCTGTATCTAAATCTACACACGGTTGTGGAGTGCGCGTGGACGTATGCATGCATTGATGCATGGCTGTGTCTGTCTATATGTCGGTAGGTAGGTAGGTAGGTAGGTAGGTAGGTAGGTACGTATGTAGGTATGTACGTATGTATGCATGCATGCATGCGTGCATCCATGCATGTACGTATGTACGTATGTATGATATGTACGTATGTACGTACGCACATATGTACGTATGCATGCATGCATGTATGTATGTATGTCTGTATGTATGTATACAAACAAGCGAACAAACAAGCAAACAAACAAACAAACAGATAAGCCAATAAGCGATGTAAATAAGTCACTCGATTAGTCATTAGTGAGCGAGCGCGAGCGAGAGAGAGGGGGTTGCCTCGGCACGGGTCTGCGCGAGCAGACCTGCACCCGATAGCAACGCAAAGAGATCGAGCGAGTGAGTGCGGGGGTAGTCTGTGAGTAACTGAGTATGTATGGCATGGTACCCTGCAGGGTTTGCAGGGCATGGCCTGACATGTAGAGATAGACACCTCAATATCCCTTTTCAGGTGCGTAATTACGAGCACATGCACACCTCACCTACCTATCTGGTTTCCTTCCAATCTACCTCCCGACTCTCCTACCTACATCGATCTACCCACCCGTCCCTATGCCACCAGCCCATTCAGATCCATCACATTGAGGTTTAGTGCTTGCATGCTGTCACACGACGTTGTGCTATGTAAGGCTATGTACATACCTGCCTATCTGCGTGCCTGCCTGCCTGCCTACTTGCCTGCCTACCTGCCTGCGTACCTACCTGCCTCCCTACCTACCCACCTACCTACCTACCTACCTACCTACCTACCTACCTACCTCCTGGCATGCATGCATGCATACATACATACATGTACATACAGTCACATACATACACATACATACACATACATATACATACAGTCACACACATACACATATACATACAGTCACATACACATACATACACATACATACACATACATACACATACATACATGTTACATATACATACATATACATACATGTACATACATGCACATAATTATACATACATATACATACTTATACATACATATACATACATATACATACACATACACATACATATACATATACATTCAATATACATGTACATATACATATACATATACATATACATATACATATACATACATGCATGCATGCATGCATGAATACATACATATACACATATACACATAGAAGCTGTATACATTCACACTCACCCATCCGCTCACTCAATCAACACATCGTTATATGTCAGAACAAGGAGCTTGCTGAGAGTTCGCTCTGTCACCTGAGGGCATCATGTAGGGCAACCGTCAAGGTAGTTGAGTCTTCCTGTGGTTATGCAAGTGGAAGCCCAAAAGAGGGAAATGGCAGTTAATTTTCAACATATGGTTGGAGAGAACCTGCCACGAGTCACAGCGATGGAGAGCCAAGACGGTAGCAAGGCAGCAAGCACTGCCAATTGGCCTTGGTGTGAGGCATTTCGGGAATGCCAGCAACATGCAAGCTACTTCTTATGTGTCCCTCTGCAAACAGGAGCCAAAAGAAATCAAGTGGGGAGAGTCGGGAGCCGCCTACGTGTGCGAATCCACAGGCGAGCAATGACATGACGAGTGTTCCGTAAGCCGTAAGGCCGCAAGGGCCTTGCAGCCCTCGCAAATTCTCGAACGCATCAGTGAGGCATCTTCACTACGAAGGAGAAGGCCGAGCTTCACATTCAGGGTGGTGCGAAGAAGGTGATCATTTCGGCACCTCCCAAGGACGGGCATATGGGGCGAGAAGCTGCTTGAACAGATCGGGATGAAAGTTGTGACCGCACCTGTCTGTGCTCAGCCGTAGTAGCAGTGCATTTTGCCCCATGGCCTTCCTTGTTGTAGGATGACGTGCCCATGTACGTAGTTGGCGTGAACCATACGGAATACAAGTCCACCGACACCGTCGCGGCCTGGCTGCACGGGATCTACTTCGGTCCAGCCCTTGAGCCCTCAGATCTGGATGTTTCTGCAGGGCAAGCATGCCCCAGGATGCCGAAACTAGCGCGTGAAGTCTCGTTCACCGGGTTCCGCCTCGACCAAATTACCACAGCAAGGGCGCAAGCGACATGAACGCAGGCAAAGAGAGGTTGCAGCGCGCATGCCCGGTTATACGTCATAAGAGTTTTGTGATTGTTGCGACATGTACTGGGCATCCTGCAAGATCCTGCTACGAGCAAGCCCCGGTGCACTCTGCCGCATCTGCATTTCAGCCCTGGGCCTAGGTTTCCAATGCGTCCTGCACTACGAATTGCCTCGCCCCACTCACCAAAGTCGTCCATGAAAAGTTCGGCATCATCGAGGAGCCATGCGAACCCAATTCTTCCGATTTTAACGGGATTGTACATGGATCGCGCCTGCCCTGCTCCAGGGTCTTATGACCACGGTTCATGCGATGACAGCAACCCAGCTCACCGTGGATGGCCCTTCCCGCGGTGGCAAGGCCGGGCTTTAACATTCTCAGGTCACGAACCCGCAGGAAAGAGGGGCGGGGCTGCTTTTGGTGACAGATCTGCAACCATATCAGGACTCTGTATCCTTGCAACCAGGGCTCCAATGTCGTGACTGATCCCGTAAATCCAAAACTAACACTTTAAAGCCCATTTCTCTAAAACCCTCAAGGCTGAAGCTTCCAAACCTGTACTCGTAGCGTAAGCCTGCCCAGAAACCGCCGAAAGCCCACTTGCACTCAGCTAACCAAAAACTTGTATGATTTTGGAATGATTATACTAATTTTAACGCTGCGCCGCCCGCCTCGGCTGCTGAGGGGCAGGGGGCACGGGAGACACGTCGGCAGCGTTGGTGCAAGGGCCTCTTCAAATGTTACCTGCCTGTCACCTGGAAAGGGCAGGGCAGGAAAGGAAGGCGAGGGGAGGCGGGGAATGGGGGGCAGGGAAGGGGTAGAGGGGGGGTGGAAAATGGACGCCAAAAGCGGTGGTTCCAACCACTTGCACTGCAGGGAGAGGGAGGAGGATTAGGTGGAGGGTACTTGAGGTAACCCCCAAGACGCCTGGGCCGGTGGCCTCGGCGGATATACTGTAGGGTTCAGCTTTTTGGGTTTAGGGGCCAAGGATCAGTTGAAGAATGTGCAGCAGGTTTCAAGCCCGTAGCTGATTGTTGCTGCCGTTCTGAAAGACTGTGGCGGTGACTTAAGTCCTGCGCATCATCAGTCGAAGATTGCACTGCGGATCCAAGCCACTAGCCGCGAATTGTTGGTGCTGGACGGGTAGTCATCTGGGGTGTGCTCAAGACGAGCGGCACATCCATTCTTGCAGATGGGATCCCAGCATACCTCCCCACAAGCACATGGAGACTCGAAACCCCCTTACTAAGTCAGAGTATTGGCACTTGATCGGTGCCATCGGCTATTTTCAGCGAAATGAAATGATGTCCTACCCCACGCAAAGATGCAGGATTGGCGAGGTGGGCGCTGTGCATCGCAGACACTCTGCTGCAAATGACATGGGAGCTCGCGCAGCAGATTCCAGCAGATTTTGCTGTCGGCTGGGAGCAGAGGCTTTTGGAAGGATGTGATGTGTAATCTGAGGAATATCATCCCGTCTGCAACGGGTGCCGCCAAAGCTGTGGGCAAGGTGGGCTTGGCCCAGGTCTCTGTGCAAGCTACGCAGTGCTGTGTAGGTCATCCCGGCAATGAACAAGAAACTCACCGGTGACTTGGCCAAGAACTCGGCCGTGGGGTCACGTGGGCAGGCTCGTCAAGAACCTGAGCACCATTTGACGCCTCTGTGGAGGGCAAGACTTTACCATGCACTGCACAGCAAGGTATGGCTTTCCGAGTGCCAACGCCGAATGTCTCAGTGGTTGACCTGACCGTCCGTTTGGAGAAGCCGGCCAAGTACGAGGACTGCTCCGGACTTGTTCTTGAGCCGAGGCCGGTCGTGAGAAGAGTCGAATAGTGCTTTTTCAGCGAGGACATCGTGGCTGCCATCAAGGATGCCTCCAACGGCCCCATGAAGGGCGTTCTTGACTGGACGGACGAGGCGCCTTGCGAGCACTGAGCCGCGAGCGAAGCTCTCCAATGTGACTTCGGCTGCTGCAGGAAGTCGTGTCCACGGACTTCGTCACCTGCAAAGCGTCCTCCATCTTCGATGTCGCCGTCAGCTGACTCTATCATCCTTCGCAGGGCTGGGACTAGAGCAAATTCAAACCCAAGACCCTCTCCTTTGGTGCCAGCGCTGCACAGCCCGACTTTGCATTCATTCTGAATCCTTCAATCAAAGGCCGGCATCTCGCTGAACGACAATTTCGTGAAGCTTGTGAGCTGGTCTCTTGGCTCTTCTGAGGTTTGGAGATTCGACGGTCTGGACGAGCTTAGATGCTGCATGATGTTACTTGGGATTTCCTGCACAGGTTTCATGATATCCAGGGCAGTGCACGAAGGGATGCTTCATAGCAGGGAATAGGGAAAGGCGAGGACTGGCACGGGTGCTGTGGTGGCAGCGCTAAGCCGCTAAGGTACGACAACGAGTGGGGCTACTCCAACCGCCTCGTGGAGTTGGCCGTGCACATGGCCAAAGTGGATGGCTAGCCGCCGCCCAAAGCTCCAAAGCCCCAGGCTCCAAAAAGCCGTCCCCCCCCCCCACATATGTTTGTTTGGCCGAGTAGACCTCGTACTGTCATGCAAGTGCTCTGCACCAGGAGCGTCCCCACCGCGTGCCAGACAACATCTGAGCCAGCTGTTTGCACCTCAAACGGATGATTCGCCTCTCCTACAATTGACGATGAGGGCGATTTTCACTCATGCCTCATGAACGCTTTCGCGATGGCAGAATCTTGGGCATGCTCAGCATGGTGTAGCCAGTCAAGATGCCAGCAGCAAGCCCTGATATTCAGCAGCTCCCCAAGCCTGCCTGAAGAGAAGTGCCGGACTGCAGAAAGGACAGCATGCCTGCTGTGTTGTCAGGCGTCGTGCATCGTTGGTGCAAGACTTGGATGCTCAGTAGACCTCCACATCTCACTAACCGTTAAGGATTTGACTCCAAGCAGGATCCTGTCGATCGATTTCGCAAATCGCTAGCCTGGCAATGGATGCAGGTCAAGGCAAAGCCTCTTGACGAAGCCCTGGACATTCCACCGGGCTATGAGGTGGGATGGGTATCTTGCAGATGGTGTTCGTTTCTCCAGGATAGGATTTTCCATGATGGGGCCTTGAGCCCATGGCGCCCAAGGAGCAGTTCGCAGGCTTGCGGTCGGCTACCCGGGCGCAGCTGGCGAAGATGTTGAGGCAGTACCCTTGGACTAGTTACGGGATTTGCAGGGTGCCGTTCGGGAGTCTCGAAAACAAAGAATTCCGCTTCTGCCATTGATCCTCAGCTTGGGCTCAGACCGGGTCGGAGCCAACCATTGCAAGCAGACAAGTCACTTACTGAGCATCTGCTGCCAGGGATCCAGGGGAGCGTTGGTGTAGGTGGAGTACCTAAGCATTGTTTGCAGCACTCCGGACACATGATTGCGCTGCATCTTCTGTTCTACTACATACTTGCCCCTCGGCAGTTTTGTGGCTTGAGAAGGGTGTGGTCAGTGTAGTCTCCGGCATGGAAAGCCAAGTGCGAATGGGCAGATATTGCGTCGACTTATGAGCGTTGCAACTGCGCCTAGGCCTTCCTGCAGGAAGAAGAGCTTCTGGCATCTCTACGATCTGGCGGCTTCAGGCATGTTTGGCACAATTCTCGCCTTTGCAGCCTGGAGTTTTGCCTGCTGCAACCTGGCAACTGCCTGGCAAAATTTCCGGATCATCCTGTTTGATGTTTGCCTGAGGATTTTGTCTTGCAGATAGTATTAACCAGCAAAATCAACACAGATCCTAATGAGCGACGGCGGCGGGCCTGCAGCGCTTGTTTACTGAAATGTCTGGAGGGCCTGTAATCGATTCCCCCCTCGCCACCACAAAGCACGCACGGCCCAGCCCTGTCAAACATTAATAAATTCGGTGATGCAGTGCCGCTACATCATTCACTGGGTGACCCATGACATAGAATGGCCGCCAGCAGAGAAGGGATTTGGCCCGTAGGCAGTGAAGGCCTCAAGGTTGTAGGGGTAGCCGGAGTGCACAAGCTTGTAGGCGAAACACAGATCACAGCCCTTGT